AAAACAGAAATAAAAAGGATAAAAAAATCACTATTTAAAAAAATAGTAAAATAAGTAACAAACTAAAATATAAACTGTTATTTAAAAAAATAAAAATAAAAAACAGTGAAAATGTGAAATAAAAGAGAAAGGGAGAAAAATCGAATATTTAAAATAAATAAATAAAACATTAAGAAAAACTAAAAACTAAAAGAAATACTAATATTATAAATATTTTTCAAAATAAATAAAAAAAATTCAGCATAAACTATAAACTATACAACAATAATAAATCTAAATAATAATGACAACTAACAATTGTTCCATCATTATTTGTTCTCTATCTCTCTCTCCAAAATTATCCGTTTGTAGGTCAACTTTTTTATTGTTTGTTGGAAACTATTGTTATTCTGGCAACACCAATAGCTCCGACCTACGTTTATTAACTCTTGGTTGGTACTCTAACAACTCCAACAGGCCTGCCGACATGTTAACAACATCTCCAGGATGACAATCCTCCCAAGATCGTGCATAGGTACCGATTGTATATGTTAGATGTCATCTATATAACACGATCGATTTTACTTAAGGGTCATCTATATAACATGATCGATCTTACTTAAGGGTCATCTATATAACACGATTGCTCTTTTCCTTATGGAGGCATGATTGTCGACATATATCTCCCTTACTTCTATTTCAATAGAATACGATATGAAACATTAATTTAAAAGATCTGAAATCATTAATTTGAAAAATCATTTTTTTCAAAAGAACATATAAAATATAAAAGTTTTCTTCCCGTTAATCATTTTCCAAATACACAAATGCTACATGTTCGTATTAGGGGTCGTTTGATAAAGCTTCTAACTGGATCCAAAAATTTTGATTTGGCAAGTTTGTTTGGCTTTTAAACTCATGTACTCGGTCCATGACATTCATGTGATTCGATACCTTCTCAACATTTTAAGGACTGGGACAACTCTAGAAAAAAAGTGGAGATTACCCATATTGCCCTAATACGATTCTCCTCTGGCCGACTCTACACATTACCGTCGTCTTCCTCCCAACCTCCGACCACCCTTCCTCTTCCTCCGACTCAACAGGTTCGTACTTTCTGATTTTGTTGTTCCCGTTTCCCCATTTTGTTGTTCATGTTTTCCTTTTTGATCAAGAATTCTTGTAAGAAATAGTTTTGATTTGTGTTACAGAAGCTATTACCGATACACAACTCAAAAGTGCACAGTAAAGAAAACCCCCGCCGTTAGGCTTCATGAGTGGGGGTGGTTGTGTTCAATCCATATCCATTATTTTTTGACAGCATAAGGAAGCATAATATTGTTAGTTGTTGTTCAATCTCAAGTTGCAAACTATCTGAATAAGGTAGAGCAAATGATAAACAAAGGAAGAGGAGCTTGAGGCCATTTTTAGGTGAATTAAGGATCTTTATCTTGCTTTCTTTTGTTGAATTGACATGTGTAAGAGGAGGTTGAGGCCATTTTTAGGTGAATTTATGGATCTTTATCTGGCTTTCTTTTGTTGAATTGGCATTTGTATGGTGATCAAGAGACGAGGTGAATTTATGGATTTAGGAATTCTAATGGTAATTTAATGATGGAGAAGAAGATTGAAGAAATTTCTTGTTTTTGTTTCGTTGTGTTTGTGTGCTCAAGCGAAGAGAGAAGAAATCTTTATAGAATAAAAGAAACCATCTTTTTCTTTATCAAAAACTTTAAGAACGAAATATTTTTGCCATGTTGGGTGTATAGTTTTGTCTATATTTCTTTCCTTGTGTTGCATCACTTTTGTCAATAGAATAAATTACAATTTTTGGTGTGATAAAGTGTTATTATTTTTGAAGAATAATTATAAATTACATCATTTTAATCATGTGTTATTTGCACCTAAATATTAAACACAATCATCTTTACATTTTTCTTTTCTCGGGTACTAATACACCGAAGTTTAAGATTTTATGTTTGATTACCAAAAACATTTTATGTGTAATATTTGAGTTTTGCATCTTAAAATATATTGTTTGTTTAATTTATGATGGCTAAAATTTGATAGTCAATGATTTGTATAAGAAAAACAGATATTAAAAAAAAACAGAAATAAAAAGGATAAAAAAATCACTATTTAAAAAAATAGTAAAATAAGTAACAAACTAAAATATAAACTGTTATTTAAAAAAATAAAAATAAAAAACAGTGAAAATGTGAAATAAAAGAGAAAGGGAGAAAAATCGAATATTTAAAATAAATAAATAAAACATTAAGAAAAACTAAAAACTAAAAGAAATACTAATATTATAAATATTTTTCAAAATAAATAAAAAAAATTCAGCATAAACTATAAACTATACAACAATAATAAATCTAAATAATAATGACAACTAACAATTGTCCCATCATTATTTGTTCTCTATCTCTCTCTCCAAAATTATCCGTTTGTAGGTCAACTTTTTTATTGTTTGTTGGAAACTATTGTTATTCTGGCAACACCAATAGCTCCGACCTACGTTTATTAACTCTTGGTTGGTACTCTAACAACTCCAACAGGCCTGCCGACATGTTAACAACATCTCCAGGATGACAATCCTCCCAAGATCGTGCATAGGTACCGATTGTATATGTTAGATGTCATCTATATAACACGATCGATTTTACTTAAGGGTCATCTATATAACATGATCGATCTTACTTAAGGGTCATCTATATAACACGATTGCTCTTTTCCTTATGGAGGCATGATTGTCGACATATATCTCCCTTACTTCTATTTCAATAGAATACGATATGAAACATTAATTTAAAAGATCTGAAATCATTAATTTGAAAAATCATTTTTTTCAAAAGAACATATAAAATATAAAAGTTTTCTTCCCGTTAATCATTTTCCAAATACACAAATGCTACATGTTCGTATTAGGGGTCGTTTGATAAAGCTTCTAACTGGATCCAAAAATTTTGATTTGGCAAGTTTGTTTGGCTTTTAAACTCATGTACTCGGTCCATGACATTCATGTGATTCGATACCTTCTCAACATTTTAAGGACTGGGACAACTCTAGAAAAAAAGTGGAGATTACCCATATTGCCCTAATACGATTCTCCTCTGGCCGACTCTACACATTACCGTCGTCTTCCTCCCAACCTCCGACCACCCTTCCTCTTCCTCCGACTCAACAGGTTCGTACTTTCTGATTTTGTTGTTCCCGTTTCCCCATTTTGTTGTTCATGTTTTCCTTTTTGATCAAGAATTCTTGTAAGAAATAGTTTTGATTTGTGTTACAGAAGCTATTACCGATACACAACTCAAAAGTGCACAGTAAAGAAAACCCCCGCCGTTAGGCTTCATGAGTGGGGTGGTTGTGTTCAATCCATATCCATTATTTTTTGACAGCATAAGGAAGCATAATATTGTTAGTTGTTGTTCAATCTCAAGTTGCAAACTATCTGAATAAGGTAGAGCAAATGATAAACAGAGGAAGAGGAGCTTGAGGCCATTTTTAGGTGAATTAAGGATCTTTATCTTGCTTTCTTTTGTTGAATTGACATGTGTAAGAGGAGGTTGAGGCCATTTTTAGGTGAATTTATGGATCTTTATCTGGCTTTCTTTTGTTGAATTGGAATTTGTATGGTGATCAAGAGACGAGGTGAATTTATGGATTTAGGAATTCTAATGGTAATTTAATGATGGAGAAGAAGATTGAAGAAATTTCTTGTTTTTGTTTCGTTGTGCTTGTGTGCTCAAGCGAAGAGAGAAGAAATCTTTATAGAATAAAAGAAACCATCTTTTTCTTTATCAAAAACTTTAAGAACGAAATATTTTTGCCATGTTGGGTGTATAGTTTTGTCTATATTTCTTTCCTTGTGTTGCATCACTTTTGTCAATAGAATAAATTACAATTTTTGGTGTGATAAAGTGTTATTATTTTTGAAGAATAATTATAAATTACATCATTTTAATCATGTGTTATATGCTTATATACATCTTTTTTTAAGAATGGTTATAAATTACATCCTTTTGATCATTTTTAATTTTTTTTTTATAAAAAAAATGTAATTTATAAATAAAATGGTAAATCATAAAGGACTTATTATAAAAAAGGTTGTGAGAGGGTAACGTAATGCAAAATCAAACATTAATTTTCAGTCAGAAGTTAATTCAGTTAGAACTTCTAACTCGATCAGATTATAATCCAATCAGCTTCTATCAAACCACCTCTTAACCAATCCAACATACCAATTAGCAACAATCAAACACCTTAATCAATCCGACATCATTTATCTACCGTAGGCTTTTTCTTTTTACTTATCTTCTTCCCTGTCCCTATCTGTCCAATATAATGCCAAAAAACGGAACCTTAGCTCCTCCCACTAACAAAAACCTCACAGAAATTTACACTGTTCACCATCTTATATACTCTTTAAACATGAAAAATTCCCATACAGTTTGATCTTTCTCTCTCTAAAACCCTACGATAGAGACATGCTCAAAAAGTCTCATACATCTATATATTCTTGATGCTTTCTTTGAGTTTTATTATTCCTTTCTAACACAAGCAGTTTCCCCCTTTTGCTTGGATGATGGGGTTTGGGCTTTATATTCTTTAATCCTGTTGTTGTCTTTCTTAATTCCCCTTTCAAGTTTAAGCTTTTCTTCTTTCTTGACCAATATTTGAAAAAAATCCAATCTTTTTGAAATCCCACCACCCCACATGTGTGTTCAGGGGTTTATCTGATCGGAATCGGATCAAAAGTGTTTCGTGGTAGCTGAATTCTGTTCAATCAAACAAGCCAGAAGAACAATAAGAAGGTTTGGCTTCTTCTATATTGTTCTATCCATCCTCATTTCATTCGAATATTGAAGTAAATTAAATTGGGTTTTTGTTCAATTTGACCAATTCTCTGAGTATTTCATACGTTTACCAGACTTTCTATGAACCTTTCTTGACCTGGTAACAGTTGAATAGGATTGATCAAGTCAAAAACTTCGGGTCTTGCCCTAATTGCTCCCATGGCAGCTATGAATGTTGCTCCATATTCCCATAGCCCCACCCATAAAGCCGTATTAACGAAAGATTACGCGGGTCTTACCAAAATAATCTCGGGTCTCCCTCATCTCAGTGACCCGTCCAAAATCCGCACCGAATCAGCCTCCATTGCAGAGGAAGCCATAGCCGATGCAATCTCAACAGTCATCGATCGCCGTGATGTCCCAAATCGTGACACCCCTCTCCATTTAGCCGTCAAACTGGGTGACACCGCCGCCACGGAAACACTCATGCTCGCCGGAGCTGATTGGAGCTTGCAAAACGAACATGGTTGGAGCGCCCTTCAAGAAGCCATATGCAACCACCAAGAACACATCGCTAAAATCATAATCAAACACTATCAACCCACAGCTTGGGCTAAATGGTGCAGAAGATTACCTCGACTGTTACAAACCATGAGAAGAATGCGTGATTTCTACATGGAAATCACTTTCCAATTCGAAAGCTCTGTAGTTCCATTCATTTCCAGAATTGCCCCTTCCGATACTTACAAGATATGGAAACGTGGTGCGAATTTGAGGGCAGATATGACTTTAGCCGGATTCGATGGTTTTACAATTCAAAGGGCCGATCAAACTGTTCTCTTTCTCGGTGATGGTTCTGAAAAAGTTCCTCCGGGATCTCTTTGTATGATTTCACATAAAGACAAGGAGGTGATGAACGCTTTAGATGGCGCAGGTGCAGTGGCATCGGATGGGGAACTGCAGCAGGAGATCCAAGCCATGTCTCAGGCTAATATGTTTAGGCCCGGGATTGATGTCACTCAAGCCGTTCTTTTGCCCCAGATGACGTGGCGTAGACATGAGAAAACCGAATTTGTTGGGATTTGGAGGGCGAAAGTTTATGATATGCAAAATGTGGTTGTAAGTATAAAATCCCGGAAGGTCCCAGGGGCAAAATCGGAAAACGAGCTATTTGGTAACGAAAAGGAATCGGATAGCAAAGAGTTCAATAACATTTTGACCAAGGATGAGCATAAACAACTCGAAAGCACGTTAGACAATGGGATTATCAAACATCGAGATATCCCGATTGAGAATGGTGTTGATTACCAAAAGTCAAAGTCAAAGTCAAGTCAACTCTCGTCTACAAGTCAAAGTCATAGTAGATGGAAAGATGGAGGTCGTGAGAGCGAATATAAGAAAGGTTTGAGGCCAATTTTATGGCTTTCACCCGATTTTCCATTGCATACGGATGAATTATTGCCTTTGCTTGACATTTTGGCGAATAAAGTGAAGGCGATACGAAGGTTAAGAGAATTGCTTACCACAAAATTGCCAGCGGGGACGTTTCCGGTTAAGGTATGTATATTTCTGGATTTTATTAATGTTTGGGTAATGTAGTTAGAGCATGTTTTCCTCTAAATAGGTTGCTAATTGTAGCGAGTCCTATGTAAAATCATAGTATAATGTATGTGTTTAGGGAGGTGTTTGGATGTGTGTTTTGAAAGTTATTCTTGGGACTAAAAGAATCAAGATCAAATACGATAAGTTAAGAACCTCCGTCAAGGTGGTCTAGTGGTGAAACATCCAAAATCAAGTTGACCCATATTCGAATCCTGATTGTTCAAAGTGAAAATAAATAAATAAATAAAATGAAATAAAATAAAATAGATAAGTTGATGAAATTAGGGATAGTTTGGTAATTTTACTTTTATTTTAATACTCCCTCCGTCCCAATATTATAGTCCACAGACAAAAAACACATAGATTAAGAAAAGCATTAATTACCACTAACTTTATTTAATAAAATGACAGTTTTGTCCTTACTTTGCATTTAATATTCCATTAAATGCTTACTTGGTTAATTAATAATAAGGGGTATTTTGGTAAAAATGATATTTATTTTTAGAAATGGACTATTATTTTGGGACAAACCAAAAAGGAAAGATGGACTATAATTTTGGGACGGAGGAAGTAATAAGTTTGCTTAGGTCATCTCCAACTTGAGGCCGAAAAAACATAATAGATTATGGTTACTTATTAGCAAGAATTTATTTTTAACTTCAACCACACACTATTTCATATAAAACATATATTTAAACCTTTTATCAAGAAATTAACATATTTTGGAATTATTATAACTATTACAATAGAACATTATAGTTTGTAACTAGTTATTACTTAATTTTATGTTACAGAAACTCGCTAATGTTAAAAAAAGAAATAACAAGTTTAAATATTCATTAGACTTTTTTTAAATATCATACTCGTCATTGGCTTACGTTCTATAAAGCTCTTTTTGAGATTTTTGAATAATATATTTTATGTAAATTAAATTTTTGAGCAAATTACATTTTTGGTGTTCGAGTGTAGTTTATTATCTTGACCCGAAATAATCAAAACCCAAATTATCGTACCATTTTTTAGGTTGCCATTCCGGTGATCCCCACAGTAAGGGTAATGGTTACTTTCACAAAATTCGAAGAATTACAACCGTTGGATGAATTCTCGACCCCACCTACAAGTCCTACAGATGCAGACCGCAATCCTCACACAACAGGCTCATCATCTTGGTTTCAGTGGATCAAAACTCCGTATCAAACTGCCAGCTCATCAACAAGCGGGCCCACTCCGTGTATAGAGCATGTTAATGACCCGTTCTTAATCCCTACTGACTACACGTGGATCACAGCTGAAGAAAAGAAGAAGAAAATGCAGGAGAAGAGTAAATTGAAGAAAGGAAGAACTCAAAACCAATAATGGATTTAAGAACACGATGATTTGATAACATTGTTTCAAATGATTTTTACTAATTTACACTTTACACAAGGTATTGGCTGATACAGTGAGGGTATAGATCTTTTAATCATATTATTTATATTTTTGTAATCGTTAGTAATACTAATAACTTTTGTTTTATATTTTAGTTAATTAACATTTTATTGAGGATTCATGTTAAGTGGGTTAAGAAAGGTTCGAGTGGGTGAAAACAAGTATGGTTGGTTGAGTAGCTTAGACTTTTGTTTTTAGGTTTTCCCAATATTTTTGAATTTTAAAGTATTCAAAGTGTTAAATTTAGCTAAGATATTAGTAATACAAACAATAATTATTTGCACGAAAATTGGTTGTGGAAGACATGAACAAAGTACATTATGAGTTGATAAATATAAATCATGCCAATTGGAATTGATTTCTCCTCCGGAATTTTTCCACACAATAATTCATCTCATTGTTCATTTAAGGGAAGAGGCAATATCCGGGGTGGGCCTATATACATGAGGCGATAATAAATATATTAAAATATTAAAAAATCTTTATATCTATGGATGTTTTTTTTTCTATATTTCAGTTATGTTCAATCTCTAAACAACAACACTAGCAAGTAGCAATGCAAATTGCATCTTAGATCAAATATTGCCTCCTCACTCCTCAGCCATAAATTTTGTTGGGAGATTTTCACTGGTTTACAAGTACTTCACCATTCTACAGCCCTCCACGTTGATCTTACAACCCCCTATTCATCAAAGTCATCTTCGTTGCTTTCATTCGTAAGTAAAATTGGATGTTTTGCAATGAAATAAAAGCTAATAATTATAACTCAAAATCGACCGTTCACACACCCAATGACACAAGGGAATTTCCTAATTTACCCTTGTGTGCTTTTTGCATGATGAGAGATAAGATATCTGCTTATACGAAGTTAAGGACATGACATACCCACATATACATAGTATTCTTTTTGAGACATAACTTGGAAAAAAAAAAAAAAAAACAGCATAAGGCATGAAAGACTTTTTTTAGGTTTAGTCAAAATTTACTTTATGGGAAAGTGTATGTCTAACATATTTGTACGCATGAGATAAGATATGTACATTAATTAACTGCTCTTAGGTTGTAGAACCGATGATTTCACCTAGATAATCGATAACGATTCTCCTTGAATCGTTTTTGGAAGATCGGGTAGGATCGTAAGATTGTAAAATCGTTACTATTTATTTTTTATTTAATAAAAACTTAAATTTTGTCTTGCACTAATTAAATATACAGAATATGAACCCTAGAAAACTCATTGTGAATTATTTATTGTTAAATGCTCTTGCGGATCTACTAAGGAATATGAACCCTAGAAAACTCATTTTTTGAATTATTTATTGTTAAATGCACTTGCGGGTCTACTAAGGAGTCTGTGCTACTCCTCAAATTTTTAGGCGTAGTGAAATTTTTTTGATGTGGCGTAATTTTTTCGGCATGCTACCTCTAAAATTAACATGTGCTACCCATATTCAACGTCCGCCGCTATTAAATGATGTATTTCCCGTGGTCTGATATATTTATTGTTAAGTGAATGGTTTGATTAAAATGTATTTTTTATATTTCAAATTGTTTTTTTAAAGATCTTACGATCCGATTCAATATTACGATTACGATATTGCAAAAACGAAAATCGATAATATACAAGATTACGATATTGACAGCTGTGTTTTATATATTATCCAATCGTATGGAATTAGATATTGATTTCTATTATGAATAAGAAATAAAATACATTGTATAAATCCGCTTTAATTAATGTTGTGTGCTTTCAAATATGATTACCCGTTTTAGAAAATTACAACATACCGACAAAAACAGATAATGTCATAAGGTTTGGATGGTTGTTAGAAAAAGATTCTTAATAACCATTATTTTACGATAAATAAGATTTTTTGATCATCAAAATATGCCTTAATTAAATACTTTTGTTTAATTATATGTGTCTTATATTTATATGTGGAATAATTGTTGCATGAAACAACAATACAATAAAAGGCGGTTAAACAATACGTGACAGAGGGCTATACGTTGATTAAACAAATCTGTTCCCTCAAGTCCGTTCAAAACCAACTAAACTGAACCTAGACTCCTTTACGACCCAATTCATAGTCCCCACCTTTTATCCTCTCTCTCTCCTCCCTCCCCTTCACATTCGCCATTGAAAAACTGCCCCTGAACCCCAAATTCTCCAGTATTCAAGTTTTAGAGTCAAAATCAAGCATAAATCCGGATTTAAAAAGCTTTCGTCAACTGTTTTTGGAGATAGAAAGAAGAAAATTCCAGTGAAATGAAGGGAGGGAAACGAGAGAAGAATGAAGAAGCTGTTGATGCTGCTTCTGTTGCGTATCATGTGCTTCATAAGCTTCCTTCTGGGGATAGTCCGTATGTCAGAGCCAAACATCTTCAGGTTTGTCCTGATCTGGATTTGTACTTTACATATATTTTGAGTTTTTCTTCAATTGTATATATATACTTGAACTAATTTGCCATTTGTATGAATATGTTTATGTAACCTGAATGCGTTTTGTCATGTTCCGATTGTATGATACTCAAAATCGAAAAATTACGCGAACGAATTCGAAAAAAAAAAAAAAACGTATCAATTGCTTACAAGTTACAACTATTCTGTGTTTTGTCCTGATCTGGATTTGTATTTTCCATAGAGTTAATCGATGAACGATTATTTCATACTGGAATATTCGATAATTTCGTCTGATCCGATTATTTTGGTTCATTTTTTGTTATCTATAGATTGTTACAACGACAATAATGAATTATTGCGCGAACGAATTCGAAAAAACAAATCAATTGCTTACTATTCTTTGGTCAAATACTAACCAATTGCTTGATTAATTCATAACTATTTTACCGAATGTTTAGCTATTCTTCTTGAATAATTGCTTGTTCTATCTTTAGAAATTGAAGTATGTGTGTGATTTGAATCTTTGATTGAGATTTGAGATCGAGATTATTGCTTTGCGGAGAAGCATTCTTATTTCTTGCAATCTGTCCTACGGCTTGTGTAGGGTCCGGATCTTCAATCAATTATTTGACCATTGAATTTGTTCCTTTTATTTTTATTTTTATTTTATCAAAAAATGATGTTGTCAACTATTCCACCATTGAATTTGATTTTACTAGTTGTAGAAAATCAGTCCATGAAATCAACGTTTTTTTGTCCAAAAGTGTTTTCCATATCTTTTATCTTTTTTGTTTTGAGTCAATTTACAGCTTACAACTATTTTTACCCAACACTTGTACACAAATAATAAAATATACATTTTACACTACCAACAAGTTTTGTCATACAAATACACAATCTTTTATTTAATTATATATAAATATAAATATATATGTTTTTTCAGCTGGTGGAAAAGGATCCAAATGGAGCAATAGTCGAGTTTTGGAAGGCAATAAATATGGGTGATAGAGTTGATAGTGCTTTAAAAGACATGGCAGTTGTTATGAAACAACAAGATAGAGCTGAAGAAGCAATTGAACTTATTAGATCCTTTAGAGAACGTTGCTCTAAACAAGCCCAAGAATCACTAGACAATGTTCTAATCGACTTATACAAGGTAACTTTTTCTATATTTGTTTGTTTTACACAGCATAAAGTACATTTTTTTTGTTCTTTATGAGTTAATGAAATGAAGCTAATGTGATTTTGTAGAAATGTGGGAAATTAGAGGAACAAATCGAGCTTTTGAAACAGAAGCTTCGGATGATTTATCAAGGAGAAGCCTTCAATGGAAAACCCACAAAAACCGCACGTTCCCATGGAAGAAAATTTCAAGTTACAGTCAAACAAGAGACATCAAGAATACTGGTAATTTTATGGATTCTATTTTTCAATCTAAACATAGAATGAAAAATGAAAAATAAAGTAAATTCCTAATTCACACTTGGATCAAATGTGGTGCAGGGTAACTTAGGGTGGGCGTACTTACAGCTAAAAAATTTCCAAGCAGCAGAAGCCGTATATCGTAAAGCTCAAGAGATAGACCCAGACGCCAACAAGGCGTGCAATTTGTGCCTTTGTTTAGTGAAACAAGGTCGATACATAGAGGCAAATAAACTTCTTTTAGAAGTAATGGAAGGTAAACTTTTGGGGTCGAATGACCCCAAGTTACTGAACCGGACTAATGAGTTGGTTCAGGAGCTAGAGCCATGGCGGCTAGCTCAGGTGCACCCTGGTCCGGACCTAGGTCCGGACCAGGATGTTGTGAGTTTGGAGGATGCGTTTATTGAGGGGCTTGACCAGTTAATTAACCAATGGACTCCATCGAGATCAAGGAGACTTCCGGTGTTTGAAGAGATATCGACATATAGAGATCAATTAGCTTGTTGATGGATTAATGATTGTGTGGTTATGGACCAATAACTCAATGGTTGTTGAGATAAATGGATATATAAATATATAACATGTATACACCAATAATAGATCTTTGTACCAGAGGTATGTGTATAGTGTAGTTTAAAGAACTTTTTTTTTTTTTTTGAAATGATTAACTCACACGCCAACTATTCTACTCTTAAATCTAACTCGTATTGTTCTAATAAGGACTTGAATCCTCAACCTTTGGCTTTCTGTCAAACTCTATACCATGACACCATACCTTTCTGTCAAACTCTATACCATGACACCATACGTTTATTAGGTCTATAAAATATGTATTTTGCATAATATGGATTTTGAAGTTATAAAATCTTTATTTCTCTGAGTACTAAGGTGCTGTTTGTTTTTTGAAAAAAAACTTCTTCAAACCTCTTACTGTTGCGCGGTGCAGCACACGCGCAACACTTTTCATCTCGCAGCTGTTTGTTTTTTAGAAGTCTTCTGAGTCAAAAACATCTGCGCGTGCTCTGTTTGGCGCAGCACTTGTACTGCCTCTTCCAACCTCTTCTTCTTTTTTTATTGTTGAAATTTTGATTATATATTATTAAAATTTTATTTCACATTTTTTTCCCTTTTTTTTTCGTTTATTCTTATTGAATTTATTTTTCATTTTTTTTAATAATCAATAATGATAATTTCTTGATGAAATATTATTATTTTTTACTGAAAATATCTTTATTTTTTGTTGAAATATCATTCTTTTTTACTGAAATATCATTAATTTTTATCGAAATGTTATACATTATTAAATTTTACGTATTAAAAAGTTATTTTCGGTTTATAAAA